TAATTCTTCGAATGTGTGTCGATCGACAGAATTTGGCTAGTTTCTTCGATGATCTTGAAATTGGAAATGAATTTTTCTGCATATAATTTTAAAAAATAGTCATGTTAATTTTCAATTAGTTAAACTACAAAAAAGCTTAAAACAATATTTAAATTATTTTAAACACTAAGAGAAAAATTTTAATTCCTTATTTGTGTCGATCGGACAGCCTTCGGCTTCTTGCTTTGAAAAAGTCGAAATTGGAAAAAAAATTTTTAATTACTTTAATCAAATAATTATGTTACATACGTATTAGTTAAACTAAGAAAAAGTATTTAAAATTTTTTTTAACTAATTTTAACAATAAGAGGAAAAATCCAGTCTTTCGAATGTGTCGATCAGACAGTTCTCAGATTCTCGCTTCCAACGACTCCAAATTGGAAATAAATTTTTGTAAATACTTGTTAACTTTGAATAATTTAAACTAAAAAAAAGGTTAAAAATTTTTTTGAAACTATTATTAACAATAAGAGAAAAAATTAAATTCTTTAAATGTGTCGTTCAGACAGTCTTTGGATTCTCGCCTCCAAGGACTCGAAATTGAAAATAAATTTTTCTAAATATTTTAATCAAATTATTATGTTACTGTCGAATTAGTTAAACTAAAGAAAATCATAAAAAAATTTTTTTAACTGTTTCAACAATGAGAAATTAAAAATAAAAAAAGTTAAAAACAATACCTGAAATTAATTTTTTTACAAATAATTATATTAACGTTATGTCCATATTTGTCATAGAATAAGATTTGCGACTAATTTTTTTCTTAAAAAAATTAATTATAACTTTTTTTAAAATTCTTTAATGAAAATTTTTATTATAATTTTAATATTGGAATAAAATTAATGCAATTAATTTTAATCTGTCAGATAACCCAGATTTTGAGAGGTGAAATTGGAAAAAATACATTGAAATTCATAACAAAACCAAAATTTGTTTTCTAATATTTTAAAAAAGTACATAATAAAATAATTGACTGGACATTTTCATAAAGTATATTTATTCAGAGAATCTTGACGACATGCAAAAAAGAGTTTTTCGAGACAGTCACCTAACTATTACTAGGCAAATAAACAAATTAAATTATCGAGTAATATAGAATTTACTTACCCAGTGACAGGAGATCCCAATTAAATGATCGAAATTACCTCCTTATCTTAAATAACTGCACAACGCGAATTTTATTATGAAAAAATGCTTGCGACGTACATCGAGATTTTTCACTTATGGCGTCGCGGACAAGACCGAAATAAGCGTGGGTCCTCGTCAAGCAGCAACTTGTTGCTTGAAAGTTTTTTTTCTCCACTGCGCTGTTAATCAGCAAATCTACATTTATCAACCGAAAAAGAAAGAATCAGTGCTGACATCTAGCGCGCTTTGAGCGCGGCAATATCAATGTCGGCAAAGTCGCATTGTGCATCGCATGCATACAGTACGCAAATAGTACAAAATGTTTTTTTATTGTTAATACGCATTTCTTACAATTAAAACAATGCATTTTGGACACTATAAACACTCTTTTATACAATGCAATTGTTTTCTTTCACAATTATCACTGTTTCACTTTAAACTTGAGAAAAAACCACGCACATTAAAGTGACAGGTGAACTCATTTCCACTTTCAACATTAATGAATAATTAAATAAAACTTAAATTAAATAAACTACTGCATAAATAAAACCTGTGATTTACCCTTTATTCATTCCAATAGTTGTTTTTACCGTTTTTCATGCTTTTCAGGCAATTTTTCACGTCTAACCGAAATCTAACTGAAATCTAACCCAACTCAGTTAGATTTCGGTTTTCGCGATCCGCCAGGGTTACAAGTTAAATACCCCTTAATGGAGATTAACCGTTATGCATACATGATTAACAGAATAGTCAAGCACAAGTAATTTCAAAATACTAATAATGGTTCAAAAATAGATTGAATAACGTGATTATTATTCATAAAATGAAATTATAATGACATTATTTGTGATTGAAAACATTCTGGCAACAGGAAAATAATATCAATAACATTAATTAAAATAGCCTCAACTTATTATCATAGGTATGATAATTAATAGACATAAGATTATAATTGAAATGTCGATATAGTAGAAACCAATAATATAAAGTGCTCTTCCTTTTTGGCATGAATAAAATATGACTAATGAGTAATAAAATATATATGCACGTATATATATACAGGGTGATTTTTATGTTCCGGACCCCCAAAATATCTTGAAAGGAAATAGTTTTTGAGAAAAATGTTGTATACAAAAGTTGTCGGGTTGAAAAAAATCTATTAAATTGTATAATTAAAAAACGAGCCCAGGGCCTTATGTCGGCCCTACAAACAAAAAAGTAAATTTTTCAAATGGAACCAAGTATTTTCAAACTCAGATTCTTGTAGCCAGTGATTTCCTCTTTTCAGACATGTGGTAACTTGTGGGCCCAAAGTTAAATTTGGGGCCAAAATTCGATTTTTTGTGATTTTAAAGGTGATTTTAGTGTAACTTAGTTCCAAGGGGTTTTCGGGGTCCCTGATTACGAATATGAAGTCAGTTTTTAAAAATTTTCAATAACGGACCCAAAATGACTAATTAAAAATGAAAAAAATTAAGGAAAATTATGAAACTTCTTATTTTAGACTTACTTTGCCTGCTAATTGTTAATTCAATGTTACTTTTATTGCTGTTAATTTAGTATCATAAAACTTGGGGTAAAATAATTAATAGATTTTTTCAAATTTTAATATTTAGGGGCTTATAAGGCCTAAAATTAGATTTTATTTGTTTTTAAAAGTGGTTTTAGTGTGACTTAGTTAAAAGGGGTTTTCGGGGTCCCTGATTACGAATCTGAATTAAGTTTTTTAAAAATTTTCAATAGCGGACCCAAAATGACTAATTAAGAAAGAAAAAAATTAAGTGAAATTATAAAATTTCTTATTTTAGACTTGCCTTCTAATTGTTAATACAATATGTTACTTTTATTGCTTTTAATTTAGTATCATAAACCTTGGTGTAAAAAATTAGATTTTTTCAAATTTTAATATTTAGAGGCTTATAAGTCCCAAAACTAGATTTTCAGTAGTTTTAAGAGTTATTTTGTGTGACTTATTTCCAAGGGGTTTTTTTTGGTCCCTGATTAAAAATCGGGCAACAGTTTTTATAAATTCAAAAAAGTGGACCCAAAAAGACTGATTAAAAATGAAAAACTTAAGAAAAATTGTGAAACTTCTTATTTTAATCTTATTTAGCCTGCTGATTGATAATTGCACATTACTTTTACACAACTTAAAATTTAGTTAGTTTAAAATGTGAATAGATTAAAATTTAGATCAATTGGATTTAAGATCAGGTTAAGTGTACCGGTTATTCCACACGTCATAATACTTAAAACGTGTGTTTTTTCAATTCTAAATCAGAAAGTTCCTTTAAACTAAAATAACTCTTAAAACCACAGAAGATCCAATTTTGGAACCCATAAGCCCCCAAAATTTAATTTTGAAAAATAAACCAATCTTCCTTTTTGCCCCCAAAGGATAGTAAATTTAGAGCTGTGTAAAAGTAACATTAAGTTAACAAATAAAATGCTAAATAGGTCTAAAATAATAAATTTCATAATTTTCCTTAATTTTTTTTATTTTTAATCAGTCATTTTGGGTCTGCTATTTTGAATTTTTAAAAATTGATTTTAGATTCGTAATCAAGAAGCCTGAAAACCCATCGGAACTAAGTTACACTAAAATGAATTTAAAACGTAATCAGGGAACCCAAGAACCCCTTAGAACTAATTCACACTAAAATCGCCTTTAAAACCACAAAAAATCGAATTTTGGGCCTTATAAGCCCCTAAATTTAAAATTTGTAAAAATATAATTTTATATACTAATTTAAAAGCAATAAAAGTAAAATTGAATTAACAATTAGAAGGCTAACTAAGTCTAAAATAAGAAGTTTCATTATTTTCCTTCATTTTTTTCATATTTAATCAGTCATTCTGGGTCCGTTATTAAAAATTTTTTAAAACTGATTTCAGATTCGTAATCAGGGACCCTAAAAACCCCAATTTTTACCCCAAGCTTTATGATACGAATTTAAAAGCAATTGTTACGTTCCGAACTAGGCGTGGTTTTTAAATAAAAATGAATTTTATTTACTTGAAGGTAGTAAGGCTGATTAATCAGGTTGGTAAAGCCTGATATTTATTTTTATGTAGGATCGTGGTCACTTGTCAAAACTACGGGTTTTGCGTTACAATAACAAGTCAAATATTCCCTTTTATAACATTTATTGATTAAATAATAATTATATAGTAATGATTATACAATAATGATACAAGTTTACAATTCTTTTACTTACTTTTAGCAATGAAGTCGGATAAATCGATGATTATAGCTTAGTCGTTATAATTGGTTTGATTTGATTTGAAATAGTTCGTTTTGGTCGCACTTGTGTAACTTTAACGACTTAGATTGTTTTATAACTATTTAAAGAATTGCAATATTCTTTATTGTTATTTCTCGTCACTCGCACCTTTGACAGGAATGAATTTTATAGCAGGTGTAAGAGAAGCAACATATACTAAATTGACAAATTTAGAAAAAGAGATAATGCAGGATTTCTTTAGTATTTATAGTTATAAATACGACAGTTATTTCTATTAAATTATTGATTCTAAGTGTTAATTTGCTTCTCTTGCACCTATTGGCTATCAGGAAAGAACTATGTTCTAAGTGAAAAGTCAAATTAACTTGCACCTATTGGCTATCAGGAAAGAATACAATAATTAGGGCGAAAGTAAACTGAAGGGTCGCTCTACGATGTTAGAGATTGCACCGGAACTTTTGACAAGCTTTATGGAAAAAGTTCTTGTTTATATACTAGTCGATTATGCTAATTAGTGGGAGAAATGTCATATTATTGAGGAGGGGTGATCTATAAATAGAATTACTTTCCTTATATGGTAATGGTCTACATCGCATGTATGACATTGAATCTTCTTCTTTCTGAATTCTCTCTTTTATATGCTGACAATGGGTTTTTGAAGATCATATTACACTTGGATCTTCACAACCTTCACATTCTTCACGCGTATAAACAAACAGGCTCGAACTTGCTACACATTTTGCTTACATATATCCTATTTTTAGCTTTTCAACTTTCTGAACTTATATGGTGAAAACGAATGTCATATCTCTTTTGAGATCAATTTCGTTTCCACACTCTATCCTATCAATATATACATAAATAAATACATTAAAATAAGACATATAGTTTAAGTATTGTAAAATTATCATAGAATTATATAAAATGTCTTATTTTAATGATAATTTTAAGGAAAATTAGGGAAAATTGTTACCGGGATGTAACAGTCTCCCCCCCTTAGATTTTTCATCGTCCCGATGAAATTAATTCCAGTTGTCGCAGATACATGATTATAAGACTGGAATTTTTGAAATTGAGACTATCTTTTAATAGTCCTTACGCTTACTGACCTACATTCATTGTGACATTGATATCCCTTGAGCTTATCTGTAGTAGCTAATATGATGACAAGAATGGTGAAATGACATCAAAATGAATCTACAATGTTGTGATGCGTGTTTGTGTATTCAAAGTGTTATGGCTATCTTCTTGAGGTAGGTATGAATTTCTTCTTTCGTGGTACAGTTAATGACCTTAAGATTGTTGTGTGCGTACATTAGAATTGTTTAGGTCAGCATTTTTCATCCCTTTATGATGCAGGAGGTCAGGAGATCTCATCAGTTTGCGCGCATTTGTCGACGAAGAATATCCATCAACTGCCATCAGTAAGTGCTTTAGGAAGTGTTGTTACATAGTGCTATAAGTGAAAATTTTACTTAGTTATTTATGGATTATTTTCTTTTTTGTTTTTAGTGCCACAAGAAAAAAATGTGGAACCAGCGTAATCAATTTCTTTCTGACGCTGCAAGGCCTAGCAGCGTCAGTTTATTACTCTGCGGAAGAAATTGAGGTGTTGGAGGACATGGCGCGGCCTGGTCGTCCTCGGAAAGGTGTGGTAAAGGATAACACCTTGAGGAAGGAAAGGATGAAGCAGCTAAGAGGGCTGAAACAGGAGTTGAAAGAGAATTCGGGGACGATGACCTCTATGTTCAACTCCTTGTTGTAAGTATATATATATATATATATTATTTTTTTTTATCTTTTCTTTGTCCTAGTGCATATAAATTATACGTATTTTCTTTGTTTTTCTCACAGTCGTTCAGGTCGCCCTATTGGTTGCTTCTGCGGCGAATGTCAAATCCCCTTACCTTCCTCCGAAGAGGCTCAAGCTATCCTGAGAACTAGTAAGTTCATTTTTACAAAATTTTTGAATTTCTTTTCTTTTCACCATCCTCATATTCCTTATATATATCGTCTTTTTTTTTTGTTATAGATTATGAAGAAACACCGAAAATCTTTCCGAGGACGATGGTTTGGCTCAGAGAGGGGGCTGAGGAAGCCATTGCTTCTCAACCTGGCCCGTCATGGGAGCCGCAACCTGGCCCGTCAAGGGAACCACAAATTGATAGTGTAATAATCGAGCAGGTGGATCCCATTGAAGTTGAACAACCTGTGCCAGGTTGCGAGCCTCAATCCAACACCTTTTGGAGGCCGTTTGAGGATCATCCCGTCAACGTGCGATCCCATTCGTCGGTGGCACTACAATCGGGATCCTCCTGGTTTTTAAGGCCGGAACCAGAAGAGGATCCCTTAAAAATTTCTTTATGTGTGTGTGGGAATTGTGAGCAATTGTGAGTGTTTGTGTGTGTGGAGATTGTGAGCGATTGAGTATGTGCGTGTATTTGCATTATATTTAAGATTATGTTTAAGTTAATTTTGAATTAATTAGAAATATATATATATATATATATATATATTTTTGAATGTGTGTGTGTGAATTCACTTTGTAGTGTGAATGAGTGAATGTTTTAAGGGGTCTACCCACTTTAGACGCGCTAAAATGAAGGCTGTTTTCAAGAATTTTTCTGATTGGTTTATATTATAAATATTGACATACAAGTTGTTAGACTAAAGAAATACACTTCCGAAATACATGAAAAAATTTTTGTTATTTGTTTTTTTAAAATTTTATATGCATGCAAATGGTAGTTGAAAAAAAATCCCCCAAAAACGATGGGTCCACGCTGTTGATGAAATCTCTGACATGGATTGTCCGAAACCAAAAAATCAAAAAGTTTTGGATTCAGTGTGGTAATAGCTATTGCGCATATCAAGGGATTTTTTATTTTTGCAAAATTGACAAAATGGCGGACATTTTTCGAAAAATTAAAGAAAACCGTGTGTTAGTTTTTTCGAAAAATGTCCGCCATTTTGTCAATTTTGCAAAAATAAAAAATCCCTTGATATGCGCAATAGCTATTACCACACTGAATCCAAATCTTTTTGATTTTTTGGTTTCGGACAATCCATGTCAGAGATTTCATCAACAGCGTGGACCCATCGTTTTTGGGGGATTTTTTTTCAACTACCATTTGCATGCATATAAAATTTTAAAAAAACAAATAACAAAAATTTTTTCATGTATTTCGGAAGTGTATTTCTTTAGTCTAACAACTTATATGTCAATATTTATAATATAAACCAATTAGAAAAATTCTTGAAAACAGCCTTCATTTTAGCGTGTCTAAAGTGGGTAGACCCCTTAATAAAAATTTTAATTTTTATAAAATTTTTGAAATTTTATTTCACCGTCCTTGTCTTTCTATTCTATCCCTTATATTTTTTTTTTATCTTTTGATATATTATTAAATAAAATTTTAATAAATGATAAATTTTTGAATTTTAAGTCTATCTAAAATAAAAATTCTTTTTAATAATTAAAGTAATTACTATAATAATAATGCTAACAATTTGATTATTAATATAAAAAAAAATTTTTAATCGTAGATAGTTGTATGCGTAGAAATACATGCGTACTCACATAAAAAAAATATATACATATATACAGAATTACTGTATTAATAATTTCAATATTTATAATTTTCAATATATAGTTTTAGGCAAATAGAATTTTGAGTAATATTATTAGGTGTTGGATCCATCGATCTATCGATTAAATCGATTAATCCAACGCGAAACATTCGTTTTTAGTGTTAGGGAACTAGAATGCGCACGGAGGTAGGTTCAGCGAGTACGCTATGGCAGCCATACACGGTGCGACAAGATGGCGAGTCTAGCTACTCGGCCGTCGCTTGGCATGAGAAGGAAGGCGTGGGACCCAGCGCGCGGGAGGCTAGCGGGAGGCGTGGGCCTCGCCACTCCTCCGCGCAACGAGTACCTTCCCTCATTCTCATGCTTGCCTGATACTCAAGGCTCAACTCGAAGCCTTTATTTTGCATTTATTTATAATTGTTTATTAGTTTAAAATTTTTATGCCAATATATTTCAATATGTTAGACTTAGTTTCATTATAATTGAAGCGTTTTAATAATTTTTTTTTCTTTTTAGAAATAAATTTGTTAGCTAATGTTATACAGTAAGGTTTTTTTGGAACCAAACATAGAGTTGTTGTGTATTAAGAAATACTTCCAAATATATTCGAAAGTAATTCGAAAAGATATTAGTCAGGGGCATTTTTGAAATTCGCGCGAGAAATGGCGACGCGTCGTCTGCTAAAGTACAACTCACTCATAGACGTAGAAATAGAAAAATTGTCGAAAATCGTGATTCGTATATGGCAGTTGTTTTAACTGTTAAAATGAAAAATAATGTTTAAAAATTGAAAAAAATTATAATAATGTAAGAAAATTAATTGAAAACATGATTAATGTTGTTGCCGGTGAGGGAATATTATTGTTAGTCGAGGAAAAATAGTTTTCGTAAAATGTGAGGTTATGTCGCTTTGTTGACAAACAAAATTTACTTTAAGAAGCCGGCAAAATGTGAAAATTTTTATTGAAAAGTGATTGTTTATTAAAAAGGATATAACAAACGTTTTTAGGAGAAATAAGAAGGATTTTTTCATATTGGTAAGTACAGTTTAATGTTTTACGACAAAAGATTTTTTCTTTGATAAAAAGAGAGAATAGTTGGGATACAATTAACTTTTCAAGATTTAAATGTTAATAGAAAAGAAAATTTAATTGAAAAGAAATAAATTTTAAACTAACAAATACAATAATAATTATTGGCATAATTTTTTTTGGAAAATCTTAGTGTTTAGACTTACAATAAAAGTGTTAAAAATTAATTTTAAATCTGCTAACTCACAATAGATAATTGAATTGTAATGAAGTAAATTTATTTTAATACAAAGTTTAAAGACAATTGGGAGAAAATTATTGTTAATTTTAATATAAAAATTTATAAGAACGAAATGTATTAAATGATACATTTTGGGTGATTATTTTATTCTTTTGAAAATGATTGTAAATTGTTCACAATTTACAACAAATGTAAATAACTGAGAAAAATTGTTATTTAATTTAAAGTTTAGAGATGCAATGTTAAAAATAATTAATTAATTTTATTTTGTGGATTTTTGTTTCAGAAAACAATGAAGCCATCGAGGAGAAAATTGATGTTTTGGAAAAAAGTAGTATTGAGGCAGTTGCCTCATTCGAGAGAAAATTATGAATGTCTGTTTCTTCCAATGATTTTTGAATTTTGGAAATAAATTTTAATTTCTTTTTTCTTATTTTCAGTTACATTTAATGCAGCTAGAGTTGCTGCTTTACCACCATTCAGATTTTCTGTTGCTGCCGTTGCTGATAATAGTAATAATGACGATGACAATGACGTTGAAATAATTTTCGCAAGGTTTGCACTGACGAAAGTATTGACGATATACGCTGACAACTGCTGTTCACGATGATTCAGATCCAGCTCATAAGGAGAATAAGAATAAGAATTATATTTTTCTTAATTTTCTCTTTTATTGATAATATAATATCTTAACTAATTTATTTACAATAAAAAATAACAAACAATCAATTTTCAGATTTACGACCGCGGATCCAAAAGGCATAATGAGAAAACAATAAGTTCATTCCACTAAGCATGGAATTTGACAACGCAGAAGAAAAAAGAGATATGACTTTCAATCTCTGCTCAAAATTTTTCAAAATCTTTTCTTTCTCTCAAATTCAGAATTTCCTATTTAGACAATTTAAGTATTTCACACTTTTTCGGTCCCATCCATAAAGTAAAGAAGAATGTTGCTTTTTTACAAAAATATTTCGTTTAACGTTAACATTCCTTTTCTGTGATGAAAGAATTAGAAAATTTAAATTTTCTTTAATTCATTGTTTCTGAGAAATTCAGACTTTTCAGACAATTCTAGTATTTCATAATTATACGATTTCATCCGCAAAGTGAAGAAAACTAGTTGCTTCTTTAAAAAAGAATTCTCTTTAACACTGCAAATTCTTCTTTCATAGACGGAAAACTTAGAAATTTAGAATTTTTAGTTTTTAAAAATTCGTTTTTCCTGGCAAATGCAGATTTTTCACATTAGGTAATTCTAGGTTTTCAGAATGATTCAAGTCCATTCATAGAGTGAAGAAAAGTAGTTGCTTTTTTAGAAAAGTATTTCGTTTAACTGTAAAATATTTTTTTCTTTGAAAACAAATTTAGAAAATTTTAATTTTCTCAAACTCGTCTTTTCTGTAAAATTCCGACTTTTCAAATTAGGTAATTTTAGTTTTTCAGACTTCTTCGATCCTATCTATGAAGTAAAGAGAAGCAGTTGTTTTTTTAAAAAATTGTTTCGATTATTTAAAAAAATTTTTTTTCTTTGATGTAAAATGTAGAAAAATTTTAATTTTCTTTAACGAAGTCTTTTCTTTCAAATTTAATCTATTCCAATCAGGTAATTTTAGTTTTCTAGATTTTTTCGATCCCATTTATAAAGTTTTTGTTTATGCAGTTTCTTTTTTTAAAAAAATGTTTTGATTAATTTAAAAATTTCTTTTTCTTTAATGAAAATTGAAAAAATTTTAATGTTTTGAAACTCATGTCTTTCAAATTCATGCTTTCCAAATTAGGTAATTCAATTTTTTCAGACTTATTTGATTCCGTCATAAGAATGAATAAAAGTAGTTGCTTTTGTAGAATATTATACCATTGAGCATTGAAAATTATTTTTTTAATTTAAGAAAAACTTAAAAAATATAAATTTTCTCAAATTCATTTTTTCAAATTCAGACTTTTTAATTTAGTTACATCAAGTTCTGTACACTTTTTCCAAACCACAATTAGAGTTAAGAAAAGTAGATCGTTTTAAAAAAAATAATCACATTTAATTTTCTAAATCAGTTTTTTTACTCG